TACATTAAAATTCATAATTAGAACACATTTAATTTTTCAACATGGCGGCTTATTTTTATTGTTTGATTACACACATTAGACACTCGTGTTATATGTACAATTAAGTAGATAAACACGTTACACGACAAAATATTAAAAAAAAAACTATATTAGATTTAAAAAAAGAACTGCATCTAAAACGGTAAGATTATTTAAATTAATGACCATACTTCAGTATAGTCGTTCAAGAGTAAAACACATTACGATTCGAATTTCGAACACGAACGCCAAATAAAACGAATAACTGTTCGATTTTTAAAATTAACGAGCTAATTAAATGTTGACTTTCAAATTAATCTTCTCCTGTTTCATTTTTTTTTTAATAAAACTCAATTATATTTTCAGCCAATATTTTTCCACTATGGTACTAAGGAGGTTGTTTATTTAAGCTATTTTGATGTAAAACAAACTAGTTAATTGGGTTGATGGTAGTTGATAGTGAGTATTTGCGTAAAGACTTTTATATGTACTTAAGTTATCATTATCTTTAGTACTAGTTCGCCAACGTACTATACACGAAGCGTTTTCCGTTTTCAATTCTATAAGCAACCAATAATAATGAGAGATTTGTTTATGAAAAACTGTTAACTTTTGTATTTTACGTGTGTCCATGAAAACTTGGGACTAAGGATACATGAATTAAAATTATCATTTTTTAAAGATGTAGGTATATAGAAAAGCAAATATTCATAGGATTTTCGTAACCTTTTATAAAATTGAGATATGATAAATAAATATTTCTGTATAAAATATAATTCATGTTTCAAACCGTTTCAGTTTTGTTTATTAAATTAAAATATATTTTTGACTAACAATGTTTATTGATTTATGAACTTTAATATAAATATATTAAGAAGATATACAATTTTTTTTTATTTCATATGTATTTACAATGTTAGGTATTGTATTAAGCATACTGCCTTAGGAGATGAATTGAGATATTTTTCTGAGAGTATTATTTATATTACGTCCCAAAAGTAAGTATTTCTGAGCGAGTTATGGTCCACAAGCTTTAACCTTGGACTATAGTATGGGTTTTCGGACTAAACGAAACATTTACTTTCTAGATTTTTTTTACATAAATAATAATATTTTTAATATATAGTTACGGTGTTTATTTCGACGATAACAACTTGTTAGCAAGAAGATGAAAAAATATTATGCAAATTAGGGGAGTGTTGGTTATATCGTACTAGCATTTAAATCGTACCACTTCTAAATTTCCCATTTAATGAATATTTTTTTCTACACTGACAACGCCAAATCGTGGCCCTGTACCATCCCTCTTCACCCACTAGTTTAAATCGACGTGAGTTAACAACTGGGTACGTAATAAAAGAAAAACATTTTTTGTAGGAATTAATATAAATATTGTCGTACATTCGTAAGGAGATAACTCGTAATCAAGGTAAGCTATAGTTATACAATTTTTTTTTATTATTCCACACTGTATACTAGATTATTGGGGGTTTTTGTTGCGTGTCTAAGTTTTGAGTTTATGCCGGATATTTGCTTTTGTTTTAGAAATGCCTTAGTTGGTTTAATCGTACCACTTGCAGTTGGTTAAATTGTACTGGTACGATTTACCCGACTATCAACCGATAGTACCTATAGTAAGTACTACCCAAGGCCAAAAACAAAAGTTATAAGAGGAAACGATCTCATTCCATCACTAGTAGCGATGATTCAGGAGAGACACTTGTTGTAGAACTAGATGATGATGATGACAGCGATGATTATTTTGAAAATATATGTCGAAAGTGCAATTGTTCTTACTACGATAAGAAGGGTCCAAAAGTTGATTGGATTCAATGCGTTCGCTGTAAACGGTGGCTACATGAGACGTGTACTTCGAATCCAGACATTTGTGATGATTGTTTCCATTAAGAAATATGCACAATAATTAGATATATTATAAACAACATTCTTGTTAACTGTTACTTTATTATTAGAGTTTACTGGTTTTTTTTTGTCTCATTTTTATTAGTTATGTTGATTGATCTCATTATCATAGTATAATCATGTTATTTTACTGAGAAAGCTTATAGTTCCTTTATATAACCTAAGAGTTAAAAATTATGTGTCTATTACCTAAAAGATATAAATAATGTTGTTTTATTACTTACCTAACAGTTAAAAATAAATAATTTGATTGAGAATTTTAATGTCTTTCATTCAGTGGTACGACTTAAACACCCATGGTACGATTTAAAGACTTCGTGGTACGATTAAAACGACTAGTCGGCTAAATCGTACCGATGGCAAGCCTTTATAAAAAAGCATTTTTAACAATGTTAGAATAATCGCAAGGATCTGTTCTCTTCTTCTTAGGAAGCTAAAATATGAAACTTTATTTTACATATGTATTAATTATTGTAAGACGTGTTATAGTCGAAATATTTGAGGTAAGTGAAAAGTGGTACGATATATCCGACTCTCCCCTATATTCTATTAATTAAATCTTACTACATTAAAATAAGAAGCGACAAATGATTCTTGTATATCAAAACATACGTATGTACATACTTAAGTGCTCTGTACAATATCGTAATTATTATGTATATATTGTAAAATAAAAGATTTGTATTTAAAGCAATTATTTAGTACTATAGAGGAAAACAAGGAAAAATGAATATCGTATCCATAATTATTAGCTTTATAAGTAGCTGAGCTATTGTAAATTGATGATGGCTTAAAATGTATGGAAACTAAGAACGTTATAGAATAATAATTAAAATCATTAATTTAACATTGTATTAAGTACGTACGTACGGTTTATTTTATTTCATTACATATAGAAATTACCAATATTTTAATAAAAATAATTACCAATAATTTAATAAAAAAAAGTAATCAATGAATACTTGTCTTCATTTTAGTTTTTTTTTCATAAATATATATATGTGTGTGTGCGAGTGTGTGTGTGAGTGTGTGTATGTATTATATATATTTACTTATGGAACATTGAATTTTATGATCGAACGTAAAATATTTATAGCTCTACATGCATACATATATAAAAATTAAATAATGTATGTACTTCTAATTTTTAATATAATTTTATTAAAAACTAATATTGCTAAAAAAAAATTGCAAATACATAATATATACGACCTCTGTGTAGTTTAAAAAAAATTCAAAACAAGGCGTTTATTTATCGAGTCTAATGATTTTGTAATATATTTATGTTATTTTAATATTTCGTAAATGTTAGAAGGTTAGCTTGAAAATGTATTGGATTGACCAGATTGTTGAGGCTTTTAGTCCAGGTCAAGGTTTTGACGCTTGACAGACTATCTGGGTTAAAGTAAAATGGGACAAGAGTGTACCAAATACTTCATAATTGAGAGAAATGCATATGAATTTCATAGATTGATTATAAATTTAATTTATTTATCCCTACTGATATTATAAATGCGAAAGTAACTCTGTCTGTCTGTTACGCTTTCACGATTAAACCACTGAACTGATTTTAATGAAATTTGGTACAGAGATAGAGTTGACCTTGAGAAAGAACATAGGATAGTTTTTATCCAAGACTTTTGAAAGGTTCTCTTGGAAACGCGACATAACCGAACTCCACGCGGGCGAAGCTGTGGGCGGAAAGCTAGTATGTATTAAAAGGAGTATTTTAATTGAAATAAGAAAAATTGTATGTCTGTGTCAAATATACAAATTTTTGAATAACTTCTCGAAACGCTATTTATTTTATAAAATTTCATAATTTATGAAGACCTCTTAAATGTTTTATCCTTAAGACATGTTTCAAACTTTCATACGTACAGTTTGACGTCTACCACTTATAAAACTATAACGATAGTTACTTAAATACGTGCGATTTACAAATGAAATACTTGAATACTTCTCGTATGTACGTAAACTTGTGGTAACGGATCGTTATCTGTGGCATATATTTGTTATTTATTTTATGTTCCTTTGTAATATTTGATAGCAACAAGTGTATATTAGTCTTTTAGAAGTTACTTCGTTGATAATACACACACACACAAAAAAACACACACACATACATACATATATAGCCACAGTTATGTCCTGTTATAGAATAGTAGTATATATATATATATGTGTGTGTGTGTTTGTGTGTTTTGTTCGGAATCATTTGTGTCTATAGATTTTTAATATGGACACCAGACGCTCGCAATGACACATCGGCGTTATCAGAATTGATAATGAGTTCTTTGAGGAATACAAAAAAATTAAATTTGTAACTTTATAATTGATAGATAATTACAAAACTTTCACTTGTACTAATGGCTTAACTAAATAGTTTCAATAATCATTAATTAATGTCAGGTTTAAAATACCTAATAATTACGAAAATATTCAAATTACACTAGCAAATATATTTTTTTCTCTATACTCATACAAAGTTTTTTTGAAGACTAGTTTAAATGACATTCGTTCTTTTAAAACCATATAAATTTATTTAATTCAAAAATCCTACCCGAATTACATTTATTTTTAAACATAATATACATTTAATAAAATAGATTCAAAATATAAAAATAAATGTGTTTCATATAATATAAATAATGATAAATTTGATATTAACTCCTAAAAATATTACGTCTATAAAAAATAGAATTATACTTTAATTGCCTTATAATTTAAATTCAAATATATTGAATTTTGGATCAAATTTTTTCCTCATAATTATATTGTTATTATAATAATAGAGCAGTAACTACGTTGAGTCTCGACAACCTGACACTGAAACCTAATTATCTATATATATGTTCCAGTAAAAAAGTCATCATTACCATCCCACAAAAACCAGTATCGTTTAATTCAGGTCAGTACTAAGAAACATATACATTTAACATATAAAAAAAAACCTAACATGTCCTAACAACACCAAAAAAACTTATGTTTATTATGATGAAATAAGTGCGTATTATATATTAATTAGTAATTTAATTGCATTAATTTAACTGACTCACGGCCAAGTTCCTGATCGTCTTCGACGCTGCCTGACCTGACTGTCCGGCAGTGCGTGCAACAAAGCCTGGGGAATAAGACTTTTAGATATCCTCCGTCTAAATCTATGTTCACAACGATCGGTTTTACACTTCCTTAGAATCGGCATATCTTCTGTAGAACACCACATATTATCAAACGAAAGCATTATCACTTCAATACATATTCAGTTTTAGTTGAATGTTACCCAATTCATGCCACAAAGCAGTTAAATCGAATGTTGTGAAATAATTTGTCACAATTAACACGTCCGCCCCCTATGAGAGACAGTCGCAGACTGACCCGAGACTCTAGCCGCTATAAACATGTACTAAAAACGTGTTGCACGTACACTAACCAATCATATGTACTTAAATATTCAATTTAAACTAATTCATGATATATAATATGTATAATCTGTCACAAAAAAAACATTGTTTAATATGAAAATTAATAAATCTAAATTATTCTTATTTTCGGCGTCCTATTATTTTGATATTGTTACATTGACCTCCGTTATCAGGATGACTATTAGAATTAAACTAAAAATCCATTGATTCAATTATACATTCTTAATTCAAATTTATCTATTATCCATAAAAAAGGTTGTATATATTTAAACTTTTTTTAAATACAATCTCTTTGGTGATTAAAAAAGTAAAATCGTTTTAATAATTCGAATGTAAGCGACGCTCGTCTTTGAAAGTGTCCGAGACACGAGACAGGTAAAACAATTCTCTGAAGACGTCGCTGTCTTTGCGTCCTGAATGTTTGTGAAAGCGTAATTTCAGTACCGAGTAATGATATAACGAATATATTAAAAGAAACACTCTCTTTGCGAATACTTTTTAATTTCATACAATTTGTAATTATGTTTAAACGAACATTCTATTTTGTTTTTCATAAGACCTTTATCCTTACTTCAATTGTAATTGAATCAGAAGTACAAATTTAAACTTATACCTTAGAATCTATAATTGCTCAAAGAATTCCAAAAATATTAAAGTCAAAAATGCTTAAAAAGTTGTCAATTTTGACATAAAAACCAAAATACTTGAACGAGCACAAGATGGATCATTATATTTCCATATATGAATAAATTAAATAGATATTTTTTTCGCAACTCAACCTAAGTATAAGAATTAAGACGTAAGTTATACTTAGAATAAATTATATTATAACAAAGCTTAATAATTGTTTGTCCCGTTAATGATTAACGAATGTGGTCCGAAGTCGTTTATTAAATAAAATCAGTAGGTCAAGAGTCATCGTACTAAAAACGGCGCGACAGGCTTTAGATGGCCTGAAAACATCGAGGATCGGCGCGGGTCACACCCAACTAGAGGAATTTGGTATATAAAACCTATTTTAAATATCAAATATTCTAATTTTTACATATCGGCTGAATGAATTCGACTAAGGTCTTGTAAAAAAAAATGCGAAAATGGCAGCGTGTTAAAAAACATAATGCAACATTACTATGGTTTTTTCAATTAATTTAACGGCGTAAATTTTTATTCTTAATCTACGCCAATCATTATATGACTTGCTACAATAAAAGTTTTTTTTAAACTGCAATAAAATTTTATTAACAATATAATAGATTCTTTAAAAATATTAACATTTCAAATTAATTATTATTATTATAGATTTAGAAATCAATATTTTTATTGGATATGTTTGAAAACATATTTTATTTAAAGATATTTATATAAATATGGTAAAAAATCATAGAGTAACACTAAAAGCGAATCAAGAATTATAAGAAAATATTTTATAGATGAGCTGGGTTTGAAGCTGGGACTTCCAGAATAAATAAATAAATGAATAAAAAAACTACTAAATAAATAAATATAGTGTTCCAACAACTTTTCTACCTATCATGTCCTGATGACAAAATACTTAATTTTAGAAATATAAATTGAAGATTAATTCTACAAATTATATTGTTTTTTATCAAATAATATAAATTGAGTGATAAGTGTTGTTAAATGAAACTGATATTCTTCGGATGTACTACGCAATTGTTTATATTTTGTCAAAAACTATGTACATACTCCCGACGTTTTGGTTACTGTTTCAATACTTAATATTAGTTTCATTTAAATGAATGACTCGCGAAAGTCTTAGATCTCATTAAGTGCTGTTAAAGTAAAGTACAAATTGTCTTACTTTGATAAATAAATCATTTGTTTGGAAACAATTTAAATTATTATCTAACATTTAATATTCCCTATATATATGTATATATGTAATAAACTCTACAATTTTGCTAAACTATTAGATAGTGTTCAATGATATTATATAAGAATCTTTTCTAAAACACTTCGCACGTACATAAAAATAAAAATTATAGCTCTTTATTAATTTTAAACAGAGTTTAAAGAAATAATGGATTCTATAAGCACTATGTGTGCAGTCATTTGTGTGAAAGCATATATTTTACGTGAGTAAATCTTGTTTAAATACAATATATATATATTGCAACTTTAATACCTTAATATAACAAAATAACTAACATTTTAAATATAAAACCATTAACATACTAATATAATTAATTTGATAGTATATGAATGTAAATAGTGTTATTTAGCAATTGATTATAAAAAGATAAAGAATATAAAGATTCCTATCATAATGATAGATTATTATATTGCAATATTGATTATGACAATGTCAAATTAATTAGTACAATGGAAATATTTTCATATCAATTTATGGCTTTATCCTACTAATATCATAATTGCGAAAGTTTGTGAGTGTGTATGTTTGTTACTTCTTCATGCTCAAACGGCTGAACCGATTTTGATAAAATTTTGTATACAGGATGCTGACGTCCAGGAATAACACATAGGCTACTTTAAATTCTGGAAAATGTTCGACTTTTCCTCATATAAGAGAAAAACCATATTTACTTACTCGAGAACTCAACTCCTAACCAAAACGACATTATCGCTATGAACCTTTTACCGGTCTATGCAGACACGATCGACAGCCAATAAGCATTCCTTTCATAAAAAAAGAGTTATGATAGACAATATCTATAGACAACAGTTCCTTTCACAAACAAAGCAGACAAAGTCGCAGGAAAATCTAGTAATTATATAAAATTGTATTGATGTAGAAATTATAATATAAATAATAAAACTTTTATATATTACTTATGCTAAATGAAGAGAATGAATGTTGAAATAAATTAAATGAATAAGATATTTTGATGAAAATATGGTTTCATTGAAAATAATATTTTTGGATTTTGATCTCATCTGTCCGTGATCATGGTTGATATAAAGTAGTTAGAAATAGTAAAAAATGTGTACTAATACAGTAATTTAGTTTTATATAAATGAACATTCACGCATCTTAGATCTCATTATAAAAATATTTAAGTTTTAATTTAAAAATATTTTAGTTAATTTTTAAGTCAAAATTACAATGTAATAATATTTTGATAAAATATATTTCTTTTTCAGAGACAATACAAGCTTAATTAAATACATATTTAGAAGATACAATCATGGAAAAACTGTTATATGTTTTGATTTAACTAAGTATTATTTTAGTATGATTGAAATTAATTTACTTTTCTCCAGCTGCAAGTATACTACAGTAGGACCCCGATTATCCGGACCTCGGTTATCCGAATTCGCGATTATCCGGACTGCCAATCGCGACGAGTTTATTCTAACATTAACATGTCACAACTTGCATATTTAAACCAAATTAAACTAATTATTTTATTTCATGATTACCTAATGCAAATTACCAAATACATACATAATTATTGTAAGCAAATTATACATACATTATGTACAATCTTCTATACATATAATAAAATTGTAGAAAAGTGCTGTCTGTACATTGAAAATAAAAATAAAAAAAATAGCAGGGGTTATTGTTATGTCGATGTCGAACCCAAAAATGTATGTAACCTTTTTTTGGCTGTTTGTCTGTTCACGCTAATCTCAGAAACGGCTGATCCGAGTTAGATGCGGTTTTCACGAATATATTGTGGCATGCTTCACTTATGCTTTAGTTTGTTTCATGTCAATCGGTTCATAAATAAAAAAGTTATGTCAAATTAAAGAATCACGTCGAACACTATGTTTAAACTATGCTGCTATTCTATGTTTCTATACTTGTTCTTAAAATGACTGTGATTATGATCCAAAATAAAAATAAGTATATATTTAAAAAACAAACGCTGCTCATAGTCACTATTCCACGCGAACGAAGTCGCGGGCACAGCTAGTTTCTTAATAAACGTTGATTTTCGCTCATATGTATTTGTTGTTTTAAATAAACACCTAACATTACATATGTATGGTACAGACTACATATGTACATATGCAAAAAGCCCGTTTTTCTTCATATATTGGATTATCCGGACTTTCCATTATCCGGATGCCTACCGACAACAATTAGTCCAGATAATCGAGGTCCTACTGTATATGTAAATGTAGTTATGAATAATATTATTAACGTAGTAAATTATAATAAAAGGTACTGATTTTCATTGTTTAATTCAAGTTGAATTCAAGAAAAAATTATGTCTATCTTGAATGAGTGATTAAAATTTCACATTTTTTATTGAGTGCCTGTTAGATTATGATCTAGTGTCGACTAGGTGCCGGTTTGCTATTAAAAATATATATATTTTTTCATAGTGGAATATGATCTATCGTTTGCAAGAGTGCATCTAGTGGCATCAGTGAAAATAAGTTATTATAATATCTAGTACATACTTGACTTCTTCGAAATGTACATTTCGATCACCGTTGGGGCAATCATGTCTATAAATAAACATTGAAGTCTTTAAAACTCATCTTCTTTCTTATAAGACTTATTTAATTTTAAATTAAAACAAAACTGATTAGCAATATTGTTGAAATATCCTTTATGTATAAAAATCATACCTTTCCTCCGAATCATCACTTTCTTTGCTTGTTGTTGCATATTTACATTTGTTTTTACAATCCATTCTTCTAACACGATTTACTTAAGAGTATCCACAACGTTGTCATCACTTTGAGCAATTAATATTATACAGATCATACACATTGCTAAATAATATTAAGTGACACATAAAAAAATGTAAATTATTTCATATTTTCCGGTTTAATTTAAGTTATCACGTATTTTAAGAGGTTATAAATTAGAACACTAACA